CATGGCTATGCCCATGCCTGTACGTCCCAATACATCTTAAACTCTACAGATTCAGAATCATGACGTTCATGCTTACAGGAAGTGAAATATGAATTATGCTCTTTAATTCCTGTACAGATTCCAGTACCCTTGATTGTGCCACAGAACAAGGAGATGAAGGATGCAGCTGTCCAGTACGAGCCTTTGACTGTAAATGAAGAAAAACAGAAAGATATACCTCTTCCCATCACAGGTGAGGGCTTAGATAAATCATACTCATTCAAGTCAGTGCCTTCATCCAAACTTTTGCTACATTCAAAAACCAATTTCAAATCATTAATGCAACAAATTCCTTCATGTAATTTCTCTTGACAGACCCGAGTAGTTCGTTTAGCGGGGACACAAAGTCAGAGGTGATCCCACCCACACTCCATGATGATGAGGAGACCCACAAAGCAGTGCAAGCCGAGCTGCCAATCAGCTCAGAGAAGAGCACAGAGTCAGCTCAGCCCAAACTGAACATCCAGCCAGAGGAAAGCACAGCGACATGTGAGGCACCTACCACCAGCGCCGAGGATCAACCCCCCTCCTCCCCACTGATGGACCTAGAGAGTGACTTCCCCTCTGGTGAGACACAATATTCTTTCAAATGAACCGCAAACTGAATCAGTTAAAGCTCCTGTTAGAGGTTTCTTTGTTGGTTATGGGAGAGACTGAAATGAATATTGAGGGGTCTAAAAATGACAAACAAGACGAGCCAATGAGCCAAAAACACAAACAGTTCACAACAGTTATTGTTGAAGTCTTTCTATGTGATTTTCACACTTAAATATAATATAAATCAAGTATATCCTCTGAAAATAACTCTGAGTCATGACTGTCTACAATGGGTGTAACACCCGAGTCCCACTGTCTGTGATGTTTTCAGAGTTTTCAGAGTCCTATCTTCAGTTTGTTTACATCGCCAGGACGGCCGGCTGACTCCTCCCCTCATGTATAAAAGTTGTTTAATTGAGGGACTAGAGAAAAGAAGAATAACATACTGTACTCACTGCTTAACTGTGTTTCTAGATCACGCTCATTTCAGGTAAATTTACATGCAGTGTGAAGATACCAGAATAAAGATCGCTAGCATTAGCATGCTAACACAACAATGCACCGTGAGTTGTTTTGGTTTCATGCTGGTGCTCAAGGGCGACATCTGCTGGATCAAAAAATCACATATAAAGACTTTAAGGTCACAAACTGCTGCCCTAGCTCTAAAAAAAAAAGGCAGAAAAAGCCCAAAAATAAGCCTTTTAAAAAAAACATATTTTTAACAAGATGGCTTTTTTACAAGACAACATCAGCAAAGACTGCTTTGCCCACATGGTTGGCCAGAAACGACCCAAACCACGGTGCACTGGTTGGCCAATCAGTGAGCTGATATCCTGAGTGGGCGGCCAGGGCTTTGACTAAAATAATATATTTTTTTGCTGAAGATGATTATCGATTAGAGATAAAAACAGCTCTTAAATATGTCGTTTTTTTGTGCCTTTGTTTTGCAGAAATGGATCCGAAGCCGCCTGCTCAACGGAGAGGAGTTAAGAGAGCAAGAGAAGCTTCTTTAGCTCGGAAACAGGTACGACTCCCCTAATAAAGTAGCAGGGTTTTTTTGGGCCAACAAATTTAATACATTGGCCTCAAACTTAAAAAAAAAAATCTTCTGCTTTGCAATCATTTACATCATGATGTGTTCAGGGGCTGTAGGAATCTGAGGAGGCTAACAGGGGAGGTTACTGTTCCATTTTAAATAGTGTTGACGACTGTTATGTATGGAAGCCCATTTCTGCCAGTTAAAAAAATAAAACTGAAAACTTTTTTTTTCGAAATTATGAAATAAAAAGTTGATAGTGTGACATTCATATATTCATACATGTCAGAGTGTGTGTGCTGCCCACATGCAACTATTCAGCTGTTACAATCTACATACTCAAGCTTTAATTTAATTTCTTTCCATTAAGGGTCGAAGGCGATTGGTTGCCATGGTGACTCCAGCCACCCTCAAACTGAACCACGTTTATGGGGTGAAAGCCTGGAGGAGCTGGGTGCAGCAAAGAAACAAACAACAGGCAGAATGTGAGCCATTTTTTATTTGATCATTTCTTCATCTTCTCTGACACATCGAGTGGGTCAGTTGTGGCCTAACTTATTCCACCCCAGTTTTAACTGACTGTCTTTCTCCTCGTAGCAAAACTAGTAGACATCAAAGAAGACATCACTCAGTGTGACTCTGCTGAGCTGAGCTTTGCCCTGTCTCACTTCATCAAAGAAGTGAAACGACCAAATGGAGAGAGGTACAGCCCAGACAGCATCTTCTACCTGTGTCTGGGGATACAACAGGTACACACACACACACACACACACACACACACACAAAAACACTGTGTCACTGGTATTCATTAGATTTGTTGGTGTATCAGTTAATTCATTTCCTGTTTTCTGTCTCTATATTTTTTCACAGTATCTGTTCATGAAAGGACGAATAGAGAACATCTTCACTGACGGGCTGTACAGTCCGTTTGCTTCTGAGATCAGTGGGATGCTGCAGCTCTGGAGACCTAAACTCCTGCCTGATGGTATTCATTCATGTTCTGGATTCAGATTGTGTACAACTTTAAAGTGTACAGAGAATCATAACCGAAAAGTGCAACTCTATAAAGCACTTTAATAATTTGGTATTTAGGTATATTTCCTTGTTTTATCTGTGGTCAGCACTGTGCAGTGGAAAGAGATGAGAGAGAAACCTCTCTGACTTCAATGAGCTTAAGTTCAGATTTTATAACCAGCACTACAGGAAGCAAGAGGCCAAACAAAGAAGTGAAAAGCAACGAAGGGCAACACACACACACACACACACACACACACACACACACACACACACACACACACACACACACACACACACACACACAAATAGGATACACTGTCATTGGTCACTTAAGGTTCAAATGAGCATCTCAAGGCCTGTGCAGTCTCATACATGAAATTTAAATGGTCTATAGGTAGATGTTAACAACGGCTCTAAAGAAAGATCACTTTTTGGGATTCCTTGAGGATAACTTCAAAACCTTAAAGTTCCCCCACCTTGTAAGAAAATCAAAGACAAACAGTGTGATTCAATGTCCTGCTCTGAAATAACACGGCTGTGTAGATACATCAAGCTTAAAGCAGTACAATGAAGCCATAGCTTTAACACATTGGACAAATGAAGAATTACAGCCATAATTATGTTTACACCATATCAGCCTTTGCAGCATTTCTTTGCTTCCCCCTTGTGGCCAACCTTATGTTTTCACACAAGTTTGTCAACACTATTTTTTTTAGTTAGTTTCAAACTTGTCTTTGTTGGGAAAGAAACTTGAATTATACAATATTGTCCCTACTCTTTTCTGTCGTCATATTTAAACTTAAAAGGAGTTCTAAACTAAAAGGTTCTTTGCTTGTCTTCCTCTCAAAGGTCGTATTTATCCTTCCCGTGTTGCCGAGTCCTACCTCTGGGAGTGTAAGCAGCTGGGAGCCTACTCCCCCATGGTGCTGCTCAACACGCTGCTCTTCTTCTGCGCCAAGAACTTCCGCTTCAACACACTGGCACAGCACCAGAGCCTCTCCTTCACCAACTTCTTTAGATGCTCCGGAGCGTACAACAAAGCGGGCACAGTCCACTTCCTCCGACACCAGAGAAGCAGCACTCCCACGCCCCCCCGGGAGGAAAGAGGTGGGTGTATGAAAGTAATACAAGTACCTCTTTTAAAGTTTAAATATGAGAATCAGGGTTTATTACCAAGTACACATACAAGGAATTTGACTTGGTGTATTAGTGCTAAACAATTAACAAGGAAATAAAGCAGAACTAGCAACAACTTAAATAATACAGTATAAGAAGATATTACAAGATATAAAATAGAATTTAAAAATGTAAAATATAAATTATAAAATATAAAAATATAAAAATGTACAAAAGGTGTAATGTAGGAGCTGTGCAGTGGACTCACAGAGTGCATGTAAGGAAGATACTGAAATATCAATTATTTATGTTTTAATGTACTCAATAAGAATTGAAGGTCATTCAGAATTCTCTGAAATATTATCCAGAGAATGTCTTTCATCTTCTCTATCATTAGCACTGCAGATGGTTTTAGATGAAAATACCTGCCAATGCTTTTTTTTTTTTTTTCTTTGAAGGGACATATTTCTCATTTACAAGTCACCTGTTATTGGCAGCTCGGCTTACAGTACCTGATGAAGGTCGGTTAGACAGAAACGTTGTACTCTCTAATAAATATCTCTGCATAGAGAGAGACAGTGTGCCTGGAGCCTTTCTCTCTGTCTTTAACAAAAAAAACAAAGGAAGCTCGTTGTATATTTTTCATCATCTCATTCCGTTAAAGATTCAGACATATTTCAAAGAGAATTCACCAAACGGAGAACCATTTATGGATCTGTCTTTGCATTGCTACTTGTTGAAAAGTTTTTCAAGTTAGATTTTTTCTGAAACTAGAATTAGATTTAAAATATTCTATTCTTTATTTACTGAATGCTTTATGCCAGTGGTTCTTAAACTTTTAATGAGTACCACCACAGAAAATATTTGGCTCTCTGAGTATCACAGTTATGACCAACATTAAATTACAGCAGCAGAGGGCTACTTAACTACCATTTTATTCCTGATTTTATTTAGTATTGACGGCCCACACTCTGTGACCTGAGCTCGTTGTCTGTGCCTTTCTAAATCCAGACGGGTTTTTGAGCGGGTGCTGAAGCGTCACTGGCACTGCTAACGTCTCCACTTGTGCTGGGTTCACTGTTGTTGACTTCAGCTCCTGCTGTTCTGCTCGATGTTTACACCGCCCAATATCGTATCGAGCCACAAATGTGGAAAATGTTAACTTGTCATATTTGCTTCCTCCATTTGCCATCACAGCTATGCTTGTCAACCAGAGAACCACAAAGAAGTATCCGGCACACCACTCAGACCACAGTTTGAGAAAAAAATGCTTTATGCTATCCCTGATCTTCAAACAGATCTGTAAACAAAATGATGACTTTTTATTACCATGACATACTTTGCTTTTCTTTGTTACAAGACTGTAACAATGTTTGCAGTTTGAAGAGAAGTAACAAAAACATCACAGAATGTCAAAATAAGAAAACAGGACAGAACGCCAGTCGTCTTTGAAAGAAGTCAACAGGTTTGTCTTTAGAAGCGGAGTCAGTGTTTCCTTTATAATGCTGACTCACACTTTCATGTCCCAGCACTTCAAACATCACACTGAGGTCTTTGTCGTTCCTTTTTTGTCCTCAATGTAAAAAAACAACAACATTATTTTGGTTTCATATTGTCATATTGCCACTCTCACTGGCAGCAGAAAAAAACAAACTTTATACTTCCTCTTCTTGTTATGTGGTGTAGTGGCAGATGACCAGCGTATCATCATGCTGGCTGTTGTTTTGGTTCTCTACTTCATTTAGAGCGATTGAGAAAAAGGAAAGGGGAGGAAGAGGGAGACCTGTTGATGCTTGAAAGTGCCCCCAACCCTCTGCGCTGTCCTGTCCGGATCTACGAGTTCTACCTCTCTAGATGGTGAGACAGAGAGACACCTTCAGTGTTGATGGAACAATATATGGAACAATATTTTTCAAAAACTGAAACAAATGCTTCATCTGCTTTGTCCTTGTCCTTTTTTTAACAGCCCAGAGTCTGTGAAGAGGAGAACTGATGTGTTTTACCTCCAGCCTGAACAGAATGTGCACACAAACAGGTCAGAGTCGAACACATTTTTTTACTTATTAATTTACTGACAGGATTTCAGACTTAAATGATCCTTTTCACAAGCAGACATTTCCCCCTGATTTGAAGCTCAAATGCTACAAAGGTAAGGATGGTGGATTGTTAACATCTGCAGGCACATGAGGTACTTGCTAGTCCATTACCTCCCCTTAGACCACACCTCATGTTAACATTCAAGATATTTGTATGTAGAAATAGGGTTTGATCATTTTACTTGATAGAAGTAGTATACATTTTTCATCAGTAACGTCTAGTAATTTAAGCCTTTTCTATCAATACGTTTAATGGAGGCTGTATGGTGGTGCAGTGGTAAGCGCTGTTGCCTCACAGCGAGGAGGTTCCTGGTTCAAATCCGTGTTGGACAGGGCTCCTTTCATGTCACTCAAGGTCACCTTACAGAGAAAGAAAACAGGTGATAAAAACAAGAACACAATCAACTACATAAAAACAAAAACAGCAATAGAAAGAAGGTGTGGTCAGACAGAGTAAGCTATTCTGAAAATATGTTTTGAGGTGTGATTTGAAGGTGGGGAGAGAGTTAATGTCACGGATGGTTAGTGGGAGAGAGTTCCAGAGACGGGGGGGCTGTGCGGCTGAAGGCGTAGGTGTGAATGTGAGTGTGTCTGGTTGTCTGTCTCTATATCCTGATATTGACCGACGACCAGTCCAGGGTGTACCCCGCCTCTCACCCAATAACAGCTGGGGTAAAAAAGCGGTATAGATAATTGATGGATGGATGTTTAATGGAAACCTTAGTTCACCTGCCTTGTTGGTAAGCTAGTCTGTTTACCTGGTGGTTGCTAATGGTAATATGAGCTGGAAATGTACACCTTTCTCATTGCATTGAGTTACAGTTGCAAATAGAAATGTTAGCTTGAAAGTGGTTGAATGTGAACAGGATTCTAACGGGAGCCTTTATGTTATCATATATGTTTAACTTTGAAATAAGATTTTCCTCCAGATTTGTACTACCTATTGTCTTTTAAGTTTCCATTAAGTTTGGAAACAACAAAGATTTTTAAGATCCCTAAATTAAAATAACAAACCAGAAATACAGCAGAGCAGAATTATAGCATAGTTAGAGCTTTCCAGCCTTAGCCTGATATCAGAGGAAATGTAAATGTGTATCTCCAGTGCTATTGGTGGACAGCAACATGCACTGGTGTTACATACATGTATTAATGTTCAATGTCTTGTCTCAACAGCCCCTTTTGGTACACTTCTCAACCATTAGAGGCTTCCACTCTGCAGAGCATGCTCACACGCATCCTGAGTGTCAGAGAGGTTCACCTGCAGCAGGAGGATTCAGGTTTACAGTGATATGAAGCTCTGCTCATCACATCCTGCGGATCATCATCTACTCTGTAAAAAAGAAAAAGAAAAAACAAACACACTCTGATGTCGAGTGAATTACAGCTGACACCCATCACTCATTCAGACTGAGACTGTCAGTCCTTTGAAATGTGGAGGCGCTGGAAAGAAGGAAGACACGCACAAAAAGAAAGGACACTTGATAGAAAAGAGAGAGAAATTCAAAAAGGGTGGAATATATTTTGTTACCTCAGTTGCCAGCCCCTGCCATGATAAGTTAATGATGACTTCAAGAAACCAGATACTCTCACACATCAAGTGTTCAAGGATATCATAAACATGATCTTCTTTCTCTTTTTTCACACCCGTGTGAAACTCATGCCCATCATTCATCACTTGTGGCAGGATTATTTACAACAGAAATATCAATGCCTAGCCTGAACTTCTCAGTATCAGATAAGTATGAGCAACAGATTGTACGTGACAACAGGCAACACTTTTATTAAACGATCGCCTCCAGCAGACATCTTGTGCTTTTAAATCTCACCAAAACATAAACGATATATTCTCACATTTTGAGCAGGTTGTGTAAATTGACAGTGTTACAGAAAACTTAAAGATAATGTGTCTACAGTTCCAGTGAAGCACTCCCCTCAATGTTATTCTGATCAATGAGTCATTCAATGTGCAGTTTGTACAAACAGCTTCACATGGTTACTGATCGGCCTTGATCTTTTTAAACCAGTTTACTGTTCACCTGTGTAACCCATTTTGTAATAGTAGAGGAGACATCAGGTGCCTCTATTCTTCTGCAGTTTCATGTTATATAGTTACCTGATTTCATGTACATTTTATTTTATTTTTCTTCATCCTGTGTGGCCTTATTTCCCCCTCCCTCTCTGTGACCTTGTACGTCCATCTGGGTTCAATATACCATCACTTCTTCCTGTGAAGGTGAAATGAAGAGCTCACTATGTACACCCTGATTATCATCATTTACAGACTAAACCTTTCCATGAATGGAAATGTTAGCCTCCTTTTTAAAAAACGACAACGGGACCTCTGCTAGCTGTGTGTGTTGTGTGTACATATTTATATGTTTTTGTCTTTGTTTTTCACTTATAGTGCCATGATTGCTTTATTTTAATCTTCTATCCTCCACTGAGGTTTACTGTCTCTTGTAAAGGGTGTGTATGGAGTGCAGTATGGGATGTTTTGATCACACACAGTTAAAGACGTGTTATGACAGTGTGCCTAAGATATTTATGACTGTGTCAGCAGTTTCTTTTTTGCTTTGCTCTTGTGTTCTGAATTATTTGGAGAAGTTATTAGTCCATAAAACCAAAATGTCAAGAGAAAGTTGAAATAGAAAAATAAGTTCACACATTCAGTAGAAGTGCCTTCTATAAGAATTTTTTTTTTTTTAGCATTTTGAGAATTTCACTTTATTCTTGGAATGCAAATAAAAAGTATCCTTCTGTTATAATAATTATTATTTTAAATATCTGGCACCAATACTGAAGATATGAGCTTTTCCCAAACCTTGAACTTTTTCTCAACATTTGGTCTTCATTCAAAGATATGAAAAATAAAGAACATCTTTGTCTTTTGTCTGGCCGTTACACATTTCTGTATTGAATCATTTGAAAATCAATAGGACTTAAATTTGCATAAAGAGAGTCATGAGGGCTTCAAAATGGATAAAACTCTGGACCATAGTGTCGGTGTTGTGTTACTGTGATAAAATGTCAAATCTAAACCTGAACCATAATTCAATGCTGGTCTCAGAGGTGTTAAAACATGTCAGGACATGATACTCATTTATTCTGTGCAAATGGACCCTTATCTGTTTTTGTGCTGTTTTCTGCTGTTTCAGGAAGTTTGGATTTTTTTTTTTATCTTCTGTGAGAGGCTCTGAATTCAGCTGGTTTTCTGGAAAATTGTTCACACATTTTCAGCTTAATGAAAAAATATTAGCATTTCTTCTTCTACGTGGCAAAAAGAACTTCATTACCCAGTTTGGGTCACTCAAAGAGATGGTGTATCTTTTTGTCACACTGTTTTAGTGTCGTCATGGCTACTTGCATCCATTGTATCTGTCATGGAGGTCAATGTGCCTTTTCTTTTGGCTCATGTTTTTTTTATTATCTGTTCAAATATAAATGTGTTTTATACATTCAGATCCCACCAGTGATTATCTGAAGGTCATATGTCTATTTAGCCCTTAATGCTAACATTAAGCATTCACATTCTGGACTGATGCTAAGCTATCAGCTTTATTATTGAAACATTTCTTAAATAACATGCTACGTCACACCATCACCACTGCCAGTACAAATGAAATATTACTGTCTCTGAATATTATAAATATTAATACAAACATTTGAAGATTGTAAAAAAATGAAAAGGCCCAAAGACAGTCACTCTTTTTATTGATCTGTACAAAATGTTTCCAACTGCATATTAAAATCGTGTCTTATTTCTTTCTTTTTAAATTTTAGGCAAAGCTAAAATGTAATGTGGAGTGTATCAGAAATTTGTGCTTTGAAAGTATGATTGATAAAATGTGTACATTTCTTTTGGTGCGTGTGTTTGACTTTGTTCACGATCAGTTTATCCTCTCACTTCTCGCTCAGAAATTTGTTTTGGTTTGTTGGGTTTAGTAGAAGCAGCGGGAGCAATTTGTCTCGCCCAAGAACACATCAGACATGTTGCTGCAGGGGCTGGGAATCAAACCCTCAACTCAACTGAGCCACAGCCGCCCTCATGAACACTACAGATAACATCCATGGTGACATCAGCCTCCTTAGGACTCAGTATGTAAATTAAATCCACATGTAGTTTAATCTGTTCAGAACCATTACTTCCATCCATTAGTAATTTGGGATAACAATAAAAAACACTTCAGCATGCACACGTCTTTGTCTGGGTGTATGGTTATATATGTCTGCAGTAAAGGGATTTTCACACACACATATGCATATAAGTACACAAGTCACATGTCATAAGTTCATGCCTGTCAACAGGCTATATGACGCACAAACTACCTCTTCAAACAGAGGATATATTCACATGAACCAGCCATGCCCCACCAATAAACAAAGAGAGACATTTCTGTTGAAGTACATTTGATGTTGGTTAATAATTGTTGACAATGGAAACCTTTGAGGCATGAGGACAGGGCTACTTGTTATCTAGACTGATTACATTAGAGAGACTAAATTACCCCTGATGGTATATGTCATGTTTCCTGAGGGCAGAGCCGTAGGTAGGAAGCAAATCCATTTACCACACACTGACTAGCAACCGGTTGCTATGGTGATAGAACAAACAAAGACTCAAACCATTCCTAAAGAAGAGTTAAGTCTTCTTCTGATGTAAGGAATGGCTGGTGATAAACATAATATGTGTATGGACAACATCATTTCTTTTTATTTACACACATAATGAGATTGTAATAAATCAGATTGTAAAAATATAAAATGTGTCGAAGAGGTCAAGAAGCCAACAGGCTTATAAAAGAGACATCAACTTTCTTAAGAGACAAAAAATAAAGCGATACAAATTAATAGCACGCTTTAAAGTGCGCTTTCTGTGCCCTTAAAGACACAGTACATATTTAAAAGTTCAAAAGGTCAAAACAACATGATATAAACTATCAGCTGGATCAGCTGACGGATGATTTTCTCATGAATTCAGTGGCTTGAAGAGACAGAAAATGTAAAGCTAAAGCACATCCTCCTTATCTAAGTGTGCAATAGTCATTGAACATTTATGACTGCATGTGAACAAAGGAAAAAAAGGAGGGGGGGGGTTATACTTACACCATGTAGCTGAAGGGCAAAAACAGTCTGAGGAAGAAGATAGGCTATGCTCGCACACTTGCTCAAATCATGGCACGTGAAAAAAAGTTTTTATTCCATCACAATCACAACGTTTCAACCAGAGGTCTTCTTCAGGTTATACTTTTTCTTTAACAAAGGGGGGAAGGCCACACCCATAGTTATAGATATCAACACCAATAGGCCGATGAGCACTATGATAGCAACGAAGGAAAGGGAACAGGAAATGTTATATAATGAGGCCTGTGTGTGGTTCTTTATTCAAATGTGCATGATCACGTTCTTCTGCTGAGTTGAAGGTTGTGCATGATGACTGATTAAAATCACACAATCAAAGGCTGTTACATTTGAAGACACCTGAACACATCTTAAAACATTCATCAGATACTCAAATTACTCAACTCAAGATTTGTGGTTGTGGCAATAATTCACAGTGGTTTAGTTTAATCTTAGGTCCTGCTCATGAATGCATCAAAGAGCTCATTCAATGTTAAGGGACAGTCCATTCTTTTCTCACGATGCACTCTGGTATTAACCTTTTTTAAGGAATGAATTATACAAACAATAAACGTGAGTTTAGGTGGCTGGGTAAAGTAAAGTGTTTCCCTTAAATGGGATGAGGATGTAGGATGTTATCAGATCTGCGGACTGTTCTGCTGAATAGCTTCCTGTGATCTGATGGAAAGGATCTTTACATAAAATATTCACATCAGATAAGAACCAAATCATCAGATACATATATACAACAGATGTAAAAACTACAGATATGATATCAAGAGTATGGGCCAGACCTTGGTAATAAAACCTCCTTCATATTTACTGTATTAAAGCTGTTAATGAAACCTAACAAAATAAACCTTCAGCTGATACATTGACCATTTATATACTAACATGTTTAATGTCTGAAACCACTTACATTGGGTTGGTGTCAGAAAAAGTGCTGACACTGTATTTTTTAAAAAACATTTTCAGAGGTAAATATTCTCAATAAGTGATATATATTTGTCTGTTAAAAAAATTCAGAAGAAAGAAAAAAACAGAACTTTGGGCGCCGGATGGCTCAGCGGTTTGCAGAGGATATATCCTCACCACAGCAGCCGGGGGTTTT